GTAAGACAGCATAAAAGAACACTGATAATGAAGACTGCGTTAGGATGTAGGGGTTATTAATGAGGCATGCAGGTTATTTGATAGCTATGAGAAGCATAATTAAAAACTGGTCAGAACGCTTATCCTAGTGTCTGATAATAACTGTCAGAATATAGCCATAAAATAGTGTTTAGGGGTCACCCATTATGTCAGTTTAATGCACTGTGCAAGGCAGAAAAATCTGTAGTGTGTTAGTGATTGTACCTTAATAAAGAACAAAAGGTAACTGCAGACTGATGGTGTGCTGTGGTGAGGAGGGCTTACTTTGGCATTAAATCATTCCTCTGACAGTTAGTGGCTGCCACAACTCACCTTCCTATACGTGGGTTTTTAATGAACTTTAAAGGTACTAGGCTTTTGCTTTTCACTGATATGCTTTTGTAGTTTGTCACTGGCATTACTGTAGTTTTAAGGTAATTTTAAGAAGTAATGATTGGTGAGCAGGAGGATTGCTTTTTTGTGACCTTTTTTTACTAAAGCCAGATGTGTGACTCTGTAGATTATGTATTTCATTGATTTTTTTTTTTTTTTTCCTTCCCCAATAGTGGTACACATTCAGTATTGTAATGGATAATAAAACCTGATATTCTTACAACATGTGATTTCTTCTTTACAGATCAGCGCACCTTTCATATCCCTAATTATATTAAGCCAAAAAATATGGTGTTCCATGAATATAAACGATGGAAAAATGATTGTTCAGTCAGCTAAGACCACGCAAATTGCACAGCACACTTTTTATCTGTCTGGTTATCTGGGAGCATGGTAGTAGAGTGTAGACAGTTCCATAAAACACATGTAAACGTGTGCCTTTTCTGATATGAATTTAAACATTCTCAGTCAAGGATGAGAAAAGATTCCTCCTAAGGGAGGAACTAATGAATAATTTAACTGTGGTTACTGTTCCCTCCACTCCATAAGATAATTGTTTAATTGAGTAGTTGTCTGTGTGCTTGAGAAGAGTAACCGTCTCCTTCGGAGTGTAGAACCTCTTTTGCTATAGGACCTGGGTGATAAATAGGAAAAGGGACTTAGGACTGCATTGGACTGTGTTAATTAAATCACAGATAAATATAGTAACCAGATGACACATCTGCACATAAAGAATTAGGAACGAATTACATAGGGGTATTACAAAGAGAGATTTTTGTTGCACTGTTGTGTTTCGTACATGGCTTACAATTCCAAGCAGTTCTTTGTTTAATTCTGTGATATGATTGAGTTAGGACAGTGATGTGAAGCCAAATTCCAGGCATTAGATGATGTTGCTTGAAGAAATGAGGTGTCATTTTACTGGCTGTGACATTTCTGAAGCAGCTAAATGTGGTAGGCGGCCTTGTTTCCCTTTGTCTAAATAACTGCTGCGTTTGTATGAACATTTATCAGCAAACGTTCAAATGTCGTAGAAGCTGGCGTTTCCAGCGGACTTGCCAAGAGACAGATCTCCCTTCCTCTGAGGCAGCACAAATCAAATTAGCTAAGACTGACTTCTTTCTTCTGATTGTAGGAGTTCTGTCAGATCTGTTTAATATTGAGATACAGCTGACCCACTTGTGTTTGGCGAGTGTTAGTGACCAGAAAAAAGCACAAGTTTCATCTATTGTTTAATGTATCAGCTTTGGTTTTGTTCAGCAGTTAACCAACAGCTCATTTTTGCATCTGAAATGTTTTTCATTTCGCTTAAAAGTGTCCTTAAGGGCTTATGTATGAAGATCTTTATATTAAAAAAGCAGGATTTTTATGCAAATTAGATATAATGAGTGTTAATATGGCATTGTTAATAACTTAATGCCATTAAATACATCTGATGAATTTTCACATTAAATGCATGCGAGCCGTGTGAAGGAGTTGGTTTGAGGAGGGAATCGGTCAAGGGATATGAAGTTTGGAAAGATAGGTGTCAGTCATACGTGTTGGACCACCACTGCACGCACAGTCTGAGCTCTTTGGACCTTATGATTGTTTGGCTTTTAACGAGGCTGTTAGAGCTGGCCTGCTCTAGGATGCTCTGGTACGCACAGTTTTATACAAAACAATAGTGAAACGTGGCTGTGGGGGAAGAAAATTGTTGTTACTGTTGGATTCTGGCTTTTTTTTAGTGGGATTTTTTAGATATTATTTCACTAGCATCTGGATTCAGAGGCATAATGTGTGCTTGTGTCTTCTGCATTGTTACTGCAAAGGAATGGAAAAATATTTTTTTTTAAATGTCTTGCCAAAATCATTGTACACAGACTTAAAGCAACTTGTTGGCAGAGTATATTCTGGTTGATATTAGAAAATCTAAATTGTTTGCTCCATGTAATATATGGATGGAGCCACCTTTAATCTTTGTCTTAATATCAGCAGGTGTGAAGTGAACATTTTTCACTTGAGTAACTGCTCCTTATGTATGGCAGTAGTACACAGTCATTCCTCTTTCAGACCTTGCCTTGCATAAGGCTCTGTTTTCACACGGGAGGCCTTTGACTCCCTAACCCCACCAAGATTTCAGTCTGCATTCACTGCTGCGCTTCTGCACCTTCTCAACACCGTTCTGGGCAGCGTGGAAGTTCTGAACAATGATGGGGCAATTTCTGAACCCACAGGAGAATGAAGTAATGCAAGTTGAGCGTAGCTAAGGGCAGCCACTGATATTTGTCATTTCA